GTGAATAGGGCTAATGATTTTAAACACCCAGCAAACTTTCCATCTGTTAACTTAAAATATGATTAAAGCTTTTAAATTTCGTGCGCAAGCAATTTTTAGTTTGATTTCTTTTTTTCTGTGTTGGTGTTGTGTACTCAGGTGAATAATATGTTTGCGATGTTACTCTGAGTGCATATCCACACCGGGCGAGCTTGAAAAATATGCCCGGCCACGGTGGGATTCGAATATGCCCGGCCACGGTGGGATTCGAGCTTGAAAAATATGCCCGGCCACTGTGGGATTTTAGTTTGTTGGAAAAGACACATCCCCCTGGGTCACAAAATTTGAGTTCGAAAATTTTTTCTCCATTTTTCTACATTATAAGTACCCACAGAAGCTATATACATAAAAAACTGGATACTATAATAGCTGTTTTGCGAATTTAAGACAAATTTCAAATATGCGCAGTTTTTTTATACACCCTGTATATATATATATGATACATTTCGTGAATTTCATAAAATCCTGTAGACATGCCATAGATATATATTAAAAGCATTCTTTCTTCTCTTTTCTTGATTTGTATTTCGTGTATCAATGTATTCTTCTATGTAATATATGAAGTTCAGATAGAATATTCTGTTAAGTTACTTCAGTTGTGCATGTAAGTCGATTGGCAACACACAAGTGTTTTTAAAAATGTATTAGACAAGTAACGTAACAATGAACCTGCATGATGGGAAGAAATTTCGGTCCGAACTGAACTTTATATATATTACACAGAATAAGACATTAATACTGTAATAAGCTATACAGGATTTTACGAAATTCATGAATTGTAGGCTACAACTGCATTTATATTCTGACTATTATACTAACCTAACTTCATATTTGCTCTCTTCATGTAAAATAGTAGCTAGTATTATTCCACAACGAAGTTCATCCTGATCCTCTATATAGGTTTCTACTTTCTAACACTGATATAAAAATCGGACGCGCATTTTATTACTAAAAAACGGCACAACCATTTGTTTTTCATGAAAATCGGCGCATGTGTTTGTCTGAACTATTTATATGGCGCGTGCCATAATTATCGATGGCCCTTCTCGGCCATCGTATATATAGGGTTTGACAATATGCAAGTTCCGCGACCCGTGTGCGGTGGCGCCGTTTAGATAGACCTGAAGCGTGTCATTAATGGACCTATTGCCAAATCAACAAAATTTTGATCTAGACAAGTCCAGACAAAAATTTCATCACAGCCGGAAAGAGCATCACAAAATTAGTAATATTCCGAATTAGTTTCGTTGCGAAATGTTGTAAAATGCGCATAATATAGCCATGCGAAGTTTTGACAACACGAACGTTTACCGGAAGCAAATTTGACCAATCAACATTCTTGACCCAGTCTTTTGACGTTACTCATGCCGCTCGTGTTGTCAAAAACGTCGCTTGCTTAACCTCGCTAATACCTCGTAAATACGCGCGTGACTCTCTAAACGCAACCGCGCATTAGGGGAACTTGCAGCTTATATACCATGCAACAGCCCACCCTAAGGTTAAGTGGTTACCTCAATAGTTTGGGCCATATATTCTATAATTCGTATGCGTTTGTATAATAATAATACAAAACTTTAAAGTCTAAAGCCCTTGAAAACATGCACGCACTGCTACCAAAACGTACGAGAAAAACGTTCATGCCGTATGCATATAGATAGTGTAGTATAAAGGTCCATACACACCGTATGATCAATTCGACAACGCGACGCGATTTTAAGATTTTCACTGAACTATAATTTTGATCCTCGTTTAAATTTTGCACATATTTAGAACAGTTATAACATTTTGAGTTACTTGGTCTACATATCTGTTAAAGACCGTGTAAAGTCCGTAATGTACACAAACGCTTTGTTTAATTACATTTTTAAGTCAGTGCTATAGTTGTAAAATATGATTAGATATATATTATAGGTAACTGAATTTTTAGCACTCTTCTGGTTCGCTATGCTTGTATAAAATGAATGGCAGACTAGAGATTCAATTCAAGAAAGTTCAAAAGATACGAAATATTAATAACATTCCAACGGTCGGGGCCCCACCATGTAAGCCTGCGCAGAACGTATCCGCAGAACGGACTTTACATGGTCTTTAGAATTTGCTCTCATTGGCTGCTTTATTAACTTTCAAAAACTAAAAAATTGCGCGTCTCGTTATCGAATCGCGTCCGGAGTGTCTGGACCTTTAGCGACATTTCAATGCAGAGGAGCAGGACCATTACCTGCCCTCTTCCGCATCCAAAGCGGTATTCCTTCCGGGGTCGGTTGATTGAGTTCCGGCCCCACTCTCTTCTCCTTCATCATCGTTCTTGACCGCTCGTTGCAGCGTCTGAGCCATTTACGATCCAGGCTCACCAGAATTTCTTTGAACCTCTCGCTTCTCCAAGCAAGAGGGGAAACAACAATACTTTTCTTTCTGGCTGGCATTGGTGCTTCCTCGTCGCTATCAGCCTCGTCGTTTTCTGCCAATGGTTCATCTTCGCTATTTTCTGGCGACATGGATTCCCTGACAAGGCCGATCTTGATGTCAGCCTTTTCCCGTTCCGCCCACGTGGAACTGATATCCAGCGCTGCTTTCCTACGTCTGAGTTTCTACAATAAAAAATATACGTACCAATTATCCAATTATATATTGAATGACATTGTAATGTACATTGTAACGTCACTATTGGGCTTTGCCTTTGGTCGACTAAAACAAACGATTTTGTAATAATAATAATAATAATAATAATAATAATAATACGATTAGATATGTACTATATAATTCAGCGTGTGGATTTAAAATAATAACAAGGCAATCAGTTACGGACTACGGGCAGACGGATGGCCTATGCCGGCTATGGATATGCCTGCATGTGCTTGTGGCAATGAACAAAATGATATGTATACTTGACGTTATCTACAAGACATAACTGAAAGTATATTTTACATTTTTCGATAGGGATTTGAATTAAGGGTTGGATGGGGTTAGAGTAAAGATTTAGAACCTAATTACTCTATTCCAGTTCCAACTCTATATCAACCACAATCTTAATTAACCTAATGGTACGGAGCCGTATTAGTGCCATTGAAATATTGCGCTTGAATTTCATATTTCTCGACTTTTTTCTCGCGTCTAACATTTTTTCTCGCGTCTGAAATTTTTCTCGCGTCTAACATTTTTTTTCGCGTCTGAAATTTTTTCTCGCGTCTTAACTTTTTTTCTCGCGTCTGAAATTTTTTCTCGCGTCTAACTTTTTTTCTCGCGTCTGAAATTTTTTCTCGCGTCTAACCAGTTTTTCTCGCGTCTGAAATTTTTTCGCGCGTCTAAAATTTTTTCTTGCATCTGAAATTTTTTCTCGCGTCTAACTTTTTTTCTCGCGTCTGAAATTTTTTCTCGCGTCTAACATTTTTTCTGGGTTAGGATAAAACGCGGATACGGACTGGCGGATGGAGGGCGGACGGATGGATGGTCTTTTTTGAGTCATATCCGCGTGGCGAATATGGTCCAAAAAACGTTTTCAGTCCTTTTTAAGTCATATCCACGTTTTATCTAAAAGGATAAAACGCGGATATGGTCAAAAGAATGTCAATACAGTTATTAGTTTAAATATACCTACAATTCCCGTTAAAATATGACAATTTTTATACGCAAACGCGAACTACAATTGCCACTTTCAAGATTAATTTTCTGTTATCCGGTCGTGTAATAATCTAACTTTATGCGGCCACTTTGGCATATACATTGGCATAAAATGCATTTGTTAAATTAGATTACTACACGGCTGGATAACAGAGAAAGTTAACCATTAAATTAAAGTGGCAATTGTATTTCGGTGTTTGCGTAAAGCCTAGCTAAGGCCGTACTAGTGACTTCTAGATATATTTCAAGCGATAACTGCATTGAAAAGCCGTTGAAAAACAGCACATTACATTGGCATAAAATTAGATTACTACATACCCAGATAACAGAGAAATTTAAGAATGAAAGTTGCATTTGTAGCTATTTGCGTTCGCGTAAAAGTAGACCGTATGGAAATTGTCTTACCTTAACGGGAATTTTTGATATATTTAAACCGAAAACTGCGTTGAAAAACCCTTGAAAAACAGCACACTACATTGGCATAAAATTAGATTACTACATACCCAGATACTACAGAGAAAATTAAGCATGAAAGTTGCAATAAATTGTAGTTAATTTGCATGCATGCATGCGTTTGCGTAAAAGTAGACCATACGGAATTTGTCTTATCTTAATTAACCCTTTAAGTGGCAATTATTGAATTTCAAATAAAAAAAATATTTTCTTGCAAAATTAACCTACAAATGAGCCTAGAAAGCCAATTAAAAAGAAAAAAAAAATCCCCTTTGAATTTCAGGGGGGGAAATAATTTGTTGCAGATAT